AGCATGGTCAAGGCTTGGGTTAGAGTTCCCAAGGTGGCCAATTGACCATATGCCTAAAAACTATGGCAGTATCCTCCTCCTCCTCACATGCAAGCAGACATATATATATATATATACACACACACACATACACACACACATATGTAACATGTGTATTATATATTATATACTCTATGTATATTATATATATATTATGCCTGCTTGCATGTGGGGAGGAGATACATACATGCACACACACACTCATACAGAGGTGTACAGAGGTGTGGGGTGGTTCTTGAAAATCACAAATTCCTTGACAAATATGATTTTATTTCCCCAGCTGATTGCCCAGCTATTTTAAGCAACAAATTACTGTACAAAAAATTTCTGACAGATCCTTGAAATTCATAACAATGGACATCTAGTTTTATCTGAAATTCACTCAGAGCCTTCTATTTCTTCTGGGCATCTACAGTACAGAGATAATAATATATTCATAAAAAGTACCCTGAGGCACTTCTGTGTTGAAGAGCCTGAGAAACCATCAACTAAATTAAAGTTAGATGAGCCGAGGTTGAGTGTATTTTGTTTTGTAGTTACGGTTTGATAGTGTACGTGTGTACACTGTTGCCACCAATTAACCAGACTACAGAATACTTCACAGTAGCCAGTTCCCCAGCTAAGCAGGATGGCTGTAGGGCGATATTGTTCTTTTCCTGAATGTGTAGAGACTGAGCTTCTTGCCCTTTTCCACCTACCACACTTCTCTTACTTGAATATCAAAGTGGGAAATGCTGAGTTCCTGAATCCCACAGCCTTGGAGAAAGAGCCTGTGTGTCTGTATTAAAGAGCACCCTCTGCTTGACTGCAAGTCTTATTCTGCTTTCAGTTAAAATTTTTTAAAACATCATGTTGTTATTGTCTTTGTTTACTCCTGTTTTTAAGGTAGACTTAGCATCTTGAAGGCTTAGACCTGGCACACATACAGACTGCAGATGTGACAAATTATTTGGGGTGACAGGGTAAGAGCCCAAAGTTAGAGGAGTTTGGCAGGGCAAGGAGGTTTAAAGATAAAGAGATGAGGGAGAGGGCAATAACAGGGTCATGAAAGGGAATTTGGATGAGGTGATAGGGAGTCAGTGAAAAAAGGCAGAAGCAGCCAGTCATTTTTGTGTTTTGAAAAGTCACTGATGGCCACATGTAGGATGGATGGGAGAGGAGTGAGATGCAAGGTGGATGGCAGACCAGCTAGGAACCAGCTGGAATTGTTCTGGGCTGAGGATGAGAAATGTCAATTATGAATATTTAGGGAAGCTTGATTTCTCCTCTGAAATAAAGGAACTGTGAAATTTCCTTTTTTCTTTCTCTTTCTTTCTTTCTTTCTTTCAGGAATGAAGAACTGTTTTCTTATAACCAATTCTTTCCCAAGTTATCGTGTAAAGTAGGCTTGTTTTCAAGCTGGGCATGCTTTTATGGATTTCAAAGGGGGAAGGATCCACATTTGTTGTTCAGGACTGAGCCAAACACTGGGTTTCTTCTCTAAAGGAGAGAGGGAAAGGACCTCTTCCCCTCTCTCCTTTACTGCTGGCAAGGAGAGGACTGTGTGTGCCCTCCTGGGTTGGGTCCAGAAGGTCCACTTCATAAATAGACTACTGCCAGCATAAGAGCGCTTTTCCATCTCCAGAATTCCATGCTCTCTTTTTCTGCTGTGCGCTTCCTGGACAGGAGACTCATAACCAAGAAACCTGTCCTTGACGAAATCTCTATTCAGCGAGGAAACAGTGCCAGCAGATAAATAATTATAAAAAAAGAGGGCATTGTCATAAAAGTTAAAGTGTCTGTAGTAAGCACTCTGCCTGGAGATGCCCTGGAATTGCCTGCAGGTGTGAGCTGGGTTTTGAAGGGCACGCAGACGTCCCACCTAGGGGAGAAGGGGACGGACATTCCAGGTGCCCTGTGAAGAAGGCAGAGCGTCCAGATGATAGCAAAGATCTGATCATTTCTGATCTTGAAAGACAGCCTCTCAGGACGTTCTCCCAGATGACCTGACTGAGCTCCAGTTGAATGGGTTGTAGAGCAGCGGTCTCCATTTCCCCTTTTCAGTTCTTGGTTCTTTTTCTTCCTTTCCATCCTGGTCTATGATTAGAGATGTGACACGAACTTTTTAGAGATGATTTCTCCTAGAATCCTGCTTAGTGAATGTTCCAGTTACTCAACTGGTTACCTCTTGTGCAGTCCTTACATGAGATATTACAGGGAAGCATGATTGTTTCAGACCCATTCACTTAGGATTTGGGATCACTTGGACTGGGAAGAGTTGGATTATTTATGCACTATGAACAAAGAGGTTTGCCAAATAAATTAATCCCCTGTTAATTCAGATTTCAAGAAGGATACCTAACCTAATTATAGAGAAAGTGAGGTGTTTGTTTTTTGTTCTGTTTTTTAAAAGCAGGTTCCAGGATACTTAAAAAAAATAAATTCTGCTATTCATGAAAGCATCTCTAGTAGGAGTTTTAATTGTTAACTTTTTTAAGCAAACAAGACATGAATACATTCTCATTTTTTAAAAAAGCAAACATGACAGAAATAGCTAAAACAAAAGATATATGTCCCTTTTACTAACCAAATATGTTTGTAGCTACCTTTTTTCTATGCATTTCCAACACACTTAATGACATACAGTTTTGTTTTGTGTTCTTAAAAAACAAGATCAGCCTAATCTGTAATTAGCTCTCATTTTATAACATTATGCCTTGGGGAGAGTCCTATGAACATGGACATATATCTGCTTCATTCTTTTTAACAGCTGTATAATGTTCCATGTTATGGCTATACTGTGATTTACTTATTCATCTCCCTGTGAATATTTAGATTATTTGCATTCTTTGTTATAACAATGCAACAGTATCTGTTTTTACTCAAATATTCATGTCTATGCACAAGTTTCTTCCAACAGGATTTCTGTCAGTAAATTCTTGGTTAGCAGTTGGAGTCAGTGTTTATACTGGAAGATAACAAAAATATTTTTCTTTAGAAATATTCAATTTTCTTGCAAATTATGATGCCTTTTCTATAAATAGTTAGGCTTATGACATCTTTGTGGAGCATTGCATGTAGCCACTGTATAGGATGGTGTCAGCAGTTTTATTATGAACCCTTGCCAAGGGCAGTGTCAGGAAAGAGCCTTCATATCACAGAAGTAGAAATTAGTTCCTAGTTCTTTTTTCTCCTTCCTATCCTGACACAAAATGGGAAGTTCTGTAGGATGGCTTGTATAGTCACTTAAACAGCCCTGATAAAGCATGAATGCAATCTCATTTAGAAATAATAATAAGACAGGACAGAAGTAGTAGGTGGGATCTAGAAGAAAGAGATGGCCCCCCTTTATTCAGTAAAAATGATCTGAGGAAACTGGAGCCCTTCATTTCCTGTATTGTTTCTTTGTTTCCTCTGTGTACTTCTCTCTGTCTGTCTTCTTTTTTTCTTTGCATGAATTGTAACATTTCTTTCAGCGGTTATTAAGCCCAGATTAAAGCTATGGAGAAGTGTGTGGCTGGGTATAGCCACTATTTGGTGTCTCGAGACGACACGAGAAGGTAAAGAAATGGGGGTACACTTGACCATTACATCCCTTCTCTTATAACCCCAAAGGGATTATTTATGGGATTTGAATGCCAAGCCTTTCCATTGAAATGACCTCTCTAATATTTAAATGCTGGTTTATGTTTTCCTTCAAGGATCTAACATGTTCTCCAAAGAGAAAAATTCTTATCTTCATATTTCTGTTCTGTTTTTTCTGTCTAGTTTTAATGCTTAAGTAAAAACAAGGAATGATCTAAATCACTCAAAATTTTCAGACCAGCAAGATGTCTTGGAAAAAGAAAAAAAAAAATCTCCCGAATAAAAAGGCAGGAGAAGGTCCAAATATCCATCAGTGGGGAGTGGGTTGAGTGCACTTTGGTATATCCAAATAGTGTAAAATAGAATGAGGACGCGCTCATCCTACCAACATAGAAGGATTTCCAGGATATTACTGTTGGGTGAAAAAAACAAGATGCGGTGAGTGTGTAGAATAATCAAGTATTTCTGTAAGAAACGGGGAAAATAATTTATATTTGTATTTGCTAGTATTTACATAGAGAAACTGAAGGTTACACAAGTAAGACTTTTCATGATATACCTTTTTAAAGTGTCCGAATTTTTGAATTAGGACTGTATTACCTATTCAGAAATAAAAATAAATTTTAAAAGGAAGTTTTACATTGCTCGGTAAGATCTTGTTCAAGCCTGCTGTGTATGTGACTCCACCTCTCATGTGTGAGCCTGGGCACCTTTTGGGGTAGGGTCAATTGCAAGACTATATATTTTGAGGAGAAAGGGGATAATTCTATAATTAGAACATGTATGGCAGTTGAAATTCTAACTACTTTGGTACCAAGATGAAAAGGCAAATTTTGCATCTAAACTGTTTCTTTAGCTTGTTCAGACTTCTTGGATTTCTTCTTTATTTTTTTTCCCCAAAGCAATTGAAAACCATTAAAAAAATGCTCTTTTTTCTTCTTTTAATTTTTTTTTACTGAAGTATAGTTGATTTACATCATTGCATTAGTTTAAGATGTACAACATAGTGATTCAGTTTTTGTTTTGGATTTTGGTTTTTTTGCAAATTATGTTCCATGATAGTTTATTATAAGATATTGGGTGTAATTCCTTGTGCTTTACAATAGGGCATTATAAAATCGTAAAAGGATCAACGCAAGAAGAGGATATTACACTTGTTATTAACATATACTCACCCAATATAGGAGCACTCAAAATACATAAAGCAAATACTAACAGACTTAAGGGAGAAATTGATGATTGGTTTAAAACAAGATGTTCTTGTTTCACAGTTTAAATCCCTTGCTGATGCCTTGGTGAACATAGTGAGGAACTGAGCTCAAACTGTAGTCTTAAGCCTGTTTGTTGTGTCCTGGAGAGAGTGTTATAGTCTGTGCTTTTTTTATTTTTTTTGTCAGGAGCAGGAAAATTCAGATTCGAAACATCCCTCCTCACCTGCAGTGGGAGGTAGGCCAATGTCACTTCTGCATTTATCATCTTCCTGCTCTTTCCTCATTTTACTTTTTAATGGGTGAGCAAGGCACTTTCCTTCCCCTTTTTTTTTGTAGTTCCGTTTCACATTTAGGAATTAGAGGTCCTCATGCTTTCCTGTCTTCAGTGCCCTAATGTGCATGAGCTGCCCTGAGTTTGGGGTCCCTTTCATCATGTAGGATGTGCACGTGGACCCCTCATGTTCCGTCTTCTCGGGCACCAAGCACCAACAAACAGACTGTGAAACAAAATGTATACCTTGCTTGTGATTTTTGTCTTAGGATTTTGTAAAAGATTTTGACCTTTCCAAATTATGATTTTGAGAGAAATAAAATAAATGGAAAATGAATAAAAATAGCAGGTTCTTTGTTAGTTTGAGCAGCTTTTTAAAAATTTTGAGTTAGTTGCCGTGAATAACAGTTAAGATGTATTTTTGGATCTGTAGAACTTCTTACAAGATTGTTACCTTAAAATAAAATAAGATAAAGCAGACTATGAGGAGTGGCTTTATTGCATTATTTAAAAATATACTGCCCCACGTTCCCCAACTCAAACAAAATCAAAATAGCCTTAAAAGAAACAAAATGTCTTGTCTAACGTTTTCATTACTTTAAGGGAAAAAAAAACTTTTTATTGTGGAAAATTTCAAACATACATATCCCATTGCTTTGTAAAATAAGGGGACTTGTAAAATAAAGGAAAACTGAAGAAAGAATGGTTAAATCTTCCAAGAAGGAGAAGTGTTCTTTGTACTTTATTCTGCTTCTCATTTCAGTATGTGGGTTCTACCATGATGAATGTGATTGTTAACAGTTACTAAGACTCCAAAACTCTGCTGTGTTTCCTCAGTGAACAGATTACTTGGGCGCTAATAAGCAAATGAAAGTTCTGTATATTTATCCATTTCTAGTTGGTTTTATGGGAGACTTGAAATTCTGACAATGAAGCTTCTTTTTCAGGTATTGGACGGACTTTTGGCTCAGTATGGGACAGTGGAGAATGTGGAACAAGGTAATAAGTGATGGAATTAGCCTACTGATTTTTGAGAGGGATATTATCTGTTAACTACTTTTTGGATGGGTCAAATCCAAGGGCAAAAAATAAGCTCAAATTCCTTTAAAGCAAGCTCCCTAGAGTATATGTTTGTATATATATGTATGAAAGATGTCTTTATTTATCTACACCTGTTTTTTCAAAGAATGATTTTCATGCTGTTTTTCTTATACTCTGTAATGTACTCAAGCACTGGACAAATGCTGTCAGGCTGGGGTAAGCTTAATTCACTTGGAAGTAACTGGATTTACACTATTACAACTTTCCTCTTCCTCATTAAGAACAACAGATTCCTAATGTCTTGGACCAAGTATTTCTCACGGAGTGGGACTCCTACACTAGAATCACCTGGAGTGGTTGTGAGAATGTAGATTCCTAGGGCTCACCATTGATAGACCTCACCATAGACAAAGTAAGACTCTGGAGAAAGAGTTCATGGACCTGTAATTTAAACGAGCACCCCCAATGTGCGTACTCATTTGAGACCCTCTATCTTAGGAACAGTGTTATAAATGCCCAGAAAACACATATTCCTCTTCCTGCTGCCCTTATTTTTTTCTTCTAAAATATGAAACGCTATGATTTTAAAGGGAAAAAAAAGGCAATTGAAGCTGTTATCTTATATAGCTCTTTAAGACTCCCTGGAAAGTAGATTCCAAGCTCCTGATAGGACAGGCAGTAACACGTGATAAAGATTATTTTTGCATTGACCTAGAAAGCAGAATGTGTAATCAGTCACTTAACTGACTGTGAGTCCTTGTAAAAGTCACTTAACTTTACTGGCTCAGTTTCTTCACTTGTAAAATGGGGAGAATAAATTTACCCTTCTTATTGTCACTGAATAGTTGTGGCACCCAGAGAGAAATATTTACAGACAGCCACCTGAATTAATATATACAGACAGTGAAGTCATACATAATCTCAAATAATTGTTTAAGTTCACTTAGGAAAAATCACAGAGAACCCATTTTCTCATGTGCAGTCTTTTCTATCTGCTAGTATAATTAATATAATAGTTTTAAAGCAGTAACCCAGTAATCCCGCTCCTGGGCTTATATCCAGAAGGAACCCTACTTCAAAAAGACACCTGCACCCCAGTGTTCATAGCAGCACTGTTTACAATAGCCAAGACATGGGAACAGCCTAAATGTCCATCAACAGATGACTGGATAAAGAAGATGTGGTATATTATACAATGGAATACTATTCAGCCATAAAGAATGAAAACATAACGCCATTTGCAGCAACATGGATGTCCCTGGAGAATGTCATTCTGATTGAAGTAAGCCAGAAAGAGAAAGAAAAATACCATATGAGATCACTCATATGTGGAATCTAAAAAAAAAACATAAATACAAAACAGAAACAGACTCATAGACATAGAATACAAACTTGCGGTTACCAAGGGGGGAGGGGTGGGAAGGGACAGACTGGGAGTTCAAAATTTGAAGATACTGACAGGCATATGCAGAATAGATAAACAAGATTATACTGTATAGCACAGGGAAAAATATATACAAGATTTTGTGGTAGCTCACAGCAAAAAAGAATGTGACAATGAATATATGTATGTTCATGTATAACTAAAAAATTGTGCTCTACACTGGAATTTGACACAACATTGTAAAATGATTATAACTCAATAAAAAATGTCTGAAAAATAAAGCGTCTTGGAAAACAACAACAAAAAAAATAGTTTTAAAGCAGTAATTATCCAGATGCTCTTGACTCCACAAATATTCAGATGCTCTTAACGCTGTGAAGAATTTGCCCATCTCAAGTTGAGGGGGAAGAGTTCAGAAGGAAGACATGGTTTACAAGGATTTTGATTCTCAGTTCTTGTTATTTCTCTCAATGTGGAAAAGAAGACATTCTGATAAGGATTGGACATAGTAGGCAAGGTGGCCTTTCAGACATGAACCTGTAAAAGTTACTAGTAGCTAAGACCTTATAAACTCAGGACAACGCCACACAAGGAAGAAATATTCCAGGTCCTTGGGGCAATTTCCAGCTCCGAGGGCACCTGTGCCCTGGAGAGAGCCCAGTGTCCAGCTGCCTCACATCTACAGGGTAGTCGTGTTGGGCTCTTGTTCTGTTTCATAGGTGATTCCTGATTGAGCAGGAAAACATTTTCAGTAGAGCTTTAAGAAACTCTATAGAACTTCCATATCCAATGAAATAAAGTATTCAGATGGAGCTCAGTTCTTCCCAGAATCACAGAACTGTCTGATTTCCTGAAGACAAACATCTTTGAAGAACAAAGAATATGACTAAGAAGTGAAATCAAAATCAGAATCTGAGACTCCTAGTGGATAGCTTTATTTTTTGTTTGTTTGTTTTTTTGGTTTTTTTTTTTTTAATATACTTTACTCTTTTAGAGCAGCTTCAGGTTCACAACAGAATTGAGCAGAAAATATGGAGAGTTTGCACATAGCCCTCCCCACCCACACATATATATTCCTCTACCCTCAACATTCCTCATCAGTGTGGCATATTTGGTACAATCAATGAACCAACATGGGCACATTGTTATCAACCAAAGTCCATAGTTTACATTAGGGTTCACTCTTGATGTTGTACATTCTATGGGCTTTGACAAATGCATAATGACATGTAGCTACCACTATAGTATCATACAGAATAATTTCATTGCCCTAAAAATCTTTTGTGCTCCATCTATTCATTCCTTCCTCCCTGCCTCTCCCCAAACCACTGGAAATCACGATCTTTTTATTGCTTCTGTAGCTGTGCCTTTTCCAGAATGTCATTTGGTTGGAATCGTACAGTTTGTAGCTTTTTTCAGACTGGCTTCTTTCATTTCTGGTGGATGGCTTTATTCAGGAGGTTCAAACCCAGCCCTTTCTTACTTTCTGGGAGTCTGCAGTCTCACCTGTAGTGCTACAGAGTGCAAATATGAGCCCTCTGTAGCACTGTATATGTCAGCGCTGAGAGGGGGCGGTCATGGGCTGCACATCCCCTGTTTTGCACTGTGAGGTCTTCTCTGGGTAACTGTGTATTGGAGAGCAATACAAATGCTCCCAGGGCTGGGCTCAGTGTTTATGACATGTAAATCTCAGTCGCAGTTCCTTCCTGAGGATTACGTGTCCCGTCCTTGTAAAGGCTGCAGCTACTTTGAAGTTATTGGATAACAGTGGTCTTTAACCTTTTTGAGAATCTTACAGAGATTATAAAACCAGAAAAATCCATATATCCACAAATTTGAATCTTTGCAGGTGGGTAGGGAGGTGAATTTATAAAATTCCTGAAGCTCTTAACACGGATCAAAGGTTAAGAATCCCTGCACTATAGGGTTTTGTTATTACTTTGAAAAACAGCTCAATTATGGTTTTCTTGAATTATCCTCAACTTATTGTTGTTAATTCCAAGTCTCCCAATAGTGTAAATGTTTTAATCGGGGAGGATTTGATTTAGTCATGACTGCTGGTTTTGGGGAAACCAGTATTTTTGGTTTAAGTTTACTGACTTGGATTGAGAAAGTTTTATCTTGCCTTTTGAATTTATTTTTAACATCTGAGTTTGGGAGAAGAGGCAAACAATTACAAATCAAGATAAGCCAACTCACAAGAGTGATCTCTTATTAGCCACTTTCAGAGTTTATGTGTTCTCCCCTTGAGCCAAGTGAGCTGGAATTGTCAGTGTTCTTTATTTATTGTACAGTTACTCAGTTTAACTCACACAGTCAATGAGTTCAGTCAAAGGGGAACAAAAATAGTAATAGTTCAGCCTTATCTATGAATGAGTAACTAAAATTAAAATACTATTACTTTATACACATATCTAGTTATTTAAAAATAAATGCAAATTGTAACAATTAAAACTCATACCCTGATAGTGGTACAATAAATTTATACAAACTTCTAGAAGAGTAATTTGAAAAGAATCATTAAAAAGCATTATGTTCTTTTACCCAATTATTTTTCTTCTCAATTACCCTTATAAAAAGTAATTTAGAAGAATAGAAATTAAGTGATGATATTTGCAACAACGGTGATTTTTTTTTTAGCAGCACTATTTAGAATAGCAAATACTGAGAACAACCCATTTATCAACAGTTAAGGAATGGTTAGGCAAAAATCATGGCACATCTACTGCAGTTTCATGTAGGTATTAAAAATGAAAAATCCAAAGAAAATTTACATGTATAGATACACATGCAAAAGTGTTGTTAAAATAAATGAAAATATAGCTTTGAGCTGTGTGTACAATTGATTACAAATTACTATGAATGCACATGAATAAAGATAGAGATTCAAATAACTTTAGAGTTAGGGCAATACGGGGCTTTTTGTGCATTTTTCTCTAAAGTAAATCAGTTTACATTGAACCAGAGGGTAGCAGCTGTTTTTTTTTTTTCTATGACAATGTAGTTTTTGCTTCTTTCCTAGTCAACACAGACACAGAAACTGCCGTTGTGAACGTCACATATGCAACAAGAGAAGAAGCAAAAATGTAAGTGGATTTGCTCTTGTCTCGTTTTAAATTTGGGAGGGGAATGGAGGGAAGCCTGTGTGAATTCCGTTGAGTGCTGTATTTGTAAACCTTTTCTGGAAAGATGCAGATCTTTGTCATATCAGTGGAGCCCCAGGGCATTTATACCAGGGTGTCTGTTGATTGTACAGAGATTTTATCTTAAAAAATGTAGAGCCTTGGCATCAAAACTGAGGTGGGAGCTGTGTCTTGACGTAGTCAGGAATAGAGGGCCACATCTGTGATGCTGTCCCCAGCGTCTGTTTTGACACCCACTGGGAACCACTTTCCCCTGGAGCCTCCTCCATGCCCCCTGAGGAAGAAGCCCAAGCCCGTTTCTGTCCACACTTACTGATGGGATGCTGGAACCTCATTTTCCCCCTCCAGATATTAAAAGGGGATCCACCTCAGTGACATCAGCCCCAGGGAGCATTGTCATCTGGGAGTGGTTCATCAGAGAGCAGCTGGCTCGGGTTCTCTTTCCTACCCACATTCACTTCCCAGTCCCATTCACGGCTGCATTGCTTCAGTGGTGGTTAATTGTGAGTGTGGCTATTAACAGACATGGGATTTAATTTTTTTAAACAACAAAAAACAAGTTCCTTTTTATAGGAGGTCGATGAAGTGCCTGTCGGGTCATCATAATTAGAATTGTGGCCACATGTGGTCATGCTTTATGGATGTGGCATGACATCCGTGTTGTTTGTTCATCCCAGGATTATAGTTCTATTTTTTTTTTCAGTGTTTCAACACCCGTGAAGACATATTTAACCCATTGTCATACTACTAGTTTTCAAGTTGTTAATTTTGCATTAAAAAAGGCAATAGTTCATTTGCTGTTGACTTCTGTACGCGTATGTAAGCAGAATACATATCAACAGCCCACCTTGGCAGTTCATGTCCAGCTGCTCCTTTGGTAGGACTTCTGTGCATGATACTACTTTGTTGCTTTTACTGAGTTCAAAAGATGCTGCTTTGTAATAAATTCACAGACCCTAAACACTAACCTAGTAGGCTAGGGTTAATGTTTTCACGTGCTGCCAAAACATGTGAAAAAATTGTACTTCATGTATAATTTTTAAGATGCAGTAGTGGGATTTATCAAATTGATAAATCTTTGAAAATAATAGTACTGTGTACTTTTGAAGATTCAAGGAAATAAATGCTGTCTTAACTGCTATGGGATAGTAAATATTGAAACCTTTCCAGAAGGACACTGAGCAAACTTAAGATGTTAAATTCTGCATACTCTCTGACCCAGCAATTCCACTAGGAGTTTGTCCTGTGTGCAAAATTGCAGTTGCAAAGATGCCCATGACAACACTACATACAATAGTAAAAGATCAGAGATAACCATATGTATCTAACAACAGTCAGTTGCAAAAATGACAGTAAATCAATAGAATGTTAAATAGCAAGTAAAAATTAAATCACAAGGTATTTAATCACTTGGAAAAGTGTTTAGAGTATTAACTGTTTTTTTTAAAGGTTATAAAGTAGTATGTATTATATTAATCCACTTTAATAAATAATATATTCATATAGAGGATGGACTAGGATTTTTTTTTCTTTTTTTTTTTTGGAGGGATGGAAGGAGGTAGTTAGGCTCATTTATTTATATTTTAGAGGAGGTGCTGGGGATTGATCCCAGGACCTCATGCATGCTAAGCATGAACTCTACCACTGAGCTATACCCTCCCCCCTGAAGGGTTTTTTCTTATCTGTGTTTATCTACTTCTGAATTTTCAATAACTACATATTATGATTAAAGGTTTTTAAAAAGAGTTCATTTTATACTGACATTTGCAAAGAGTTTTTGATGAGAGGGATACAGCTTTATGTGATGAAAAAAGCAGAATGGAAAATTGTATGTTAAGTCTGACCAGGCCTTTACAGTATGATTACTTATCTAATCATTAACCGTGAGCTCTGAGGGAGCAGAGGTGGCATCTGCCTTGCTCACCGCTGCATCCTCAATGTTGAGGGTGGCGTCCACATAGGCAGCTAGTAAACGAGAGTGAATGAACCAGCCATTGATGGGAGGGTCCTTTCTGATGTTGTTCCCTAACAAAGCTCGCTTGCCCCTGCTGCATTTCAGAGCCATCGAGAAGCTAAGCGGGCATCAGTTTGAGAACTACTCCTTCAAGATTTCCTACATCCCGGATGAAGAGGTGAGCTCCCCTTCGCCCCCTCAGCGAGCCCAGCGTGGGGACCACTCTTCCCGGGAGCAAGGCCATGGTCCTGGGGGCTCTTCTCAGGCCAGACAGATTGATTTCCCGCTGCGGATCCTGGTCCCCACCCAGTTTGTTGGTGCCATCATCGGAAAGGAGGGCTTGACCATAAAGAACATCACTAAGCAGACCCAGTCCCGGTACGTGCCTCCGGGGCTTCCTTTGCTTCCTTCTGAGGGGTCCCCTGAGTGCTGGTGGGTCCCGGCCATTCCCCGATTGCTATTGCTTGCACCAGCAGTGGGGGGCTGTGCTATATGGGACGGTGGCTTCTTTAAACAGAATTACTAACAGACTAACATAAAGCCAGAGGCTTTAATGAGCTTTCATACCCATGACCTAAAGGTCGTACCCTGAAACACTAATAATTCATAAAAAAAGTACTAATGACCTCACAGTCAAGAATTGTTCTCACAAGCTGATGCCTGTGAATACATCTTCATATTTTTAAAACAGCAGAGGTATGGGGCTGAACTTTATGGGATCCTAAAACCCACTTATCTTAGCTCTTGCCTCCTCTCCTGAGTCAGAGCCCTGAATGGTAGTCATTCTTTGAGACCACCTAGGTAGTCTCACAGATAGCTACATAAAGGAAGTGGGTGAGTCACTGTTACATTGATCAAGAAATAAAGCACATTAGCCTTATGTTTAGTTCTCTGTTTGAGGAGATTGAGTTGCAGTAGATAAAGTGACTTGTGGGGTTGTTGATTTTTGTATGTCATAAGACCACAGTACGATATAATGAACAAAACACAGGACTTGAAAACAAAGACCCTTGTTCAGGTTTTACCACTTAATAACTATATGATCTTAAAAACTTCAAGCTCTCTGAGCATCAGTTGCTTCTTCTCTAAGCCAGGGTTATTTTGAGAATTAGGACAGCCAGGCAGATTGAATGGAATAATTACTGTGAAAGCACTTAAATTGCAAAGCACCAAAGTACTAACAAATATTAGTTACTTACATGACAAGTGCATTTTATTCAGGTCATTGAGTATCTTGTAACCTGAAAGAGAAAACACTATATTCTTCAAAGTGCCTGAGTTACTTCCAAATAATGTACACTTACATGAGTCTCAGAGTTCAAATCATAGGAGTGAAATGATGAGATGCGAGAGAGGGGAAGTACTGTGTGATGTTTCCTTTATTTTAAAATGAGTCCTTTTTTCCCCCTCCAACTTTGCTTCAAAGAATTATCTAAAGTGGCTTTTAAAATGCAAGAAGTTTAAGTAGAAGTGAGGTTAGTCTCAAAGTGTGTGCCCATTTTTCAGAAATAGGCCAAAGACTTGGATCTGGGCTTTCTAACAGCCAAAGTAGAAATGGATACAATCAATTATGTGATTTTGAATGTTAACGAAAACAAGTAGAGCCACAACTACCCCAAGAAGTCTGATAAAGTCATCAAACTTTTGAGCCAGTAGTTTTAAGAGCCTGGAAGAAGGCAAGCTGCCAGTGGCAAGGAAACCAAAAACTTAGGCAGAGAAAGGGCATGCCTCTTTTTCTGTCCACACTCAGATATATAAAGCTTGCTTGAATTTGGTGTATAGAGTTGGATTAACATGGCGTTTAAAAGCTGCCCTCAGTTCGGAGACCGGCACTGTGCCAACGTGCAGTATTACCCCGCTCACTTTACTCTTCACTTCTAAGATCATTTGAAAGACTACACAAAATACTTCATTTACCAAACTGGCTTCATTACCACGTTGGCTTGGAGGTTGTCCAATAGCACTCCTGTGAGAAATACTCCTTTCTAGATGGAGCTGCAAAGAATTCAGGTTTGGCACAAGACCCCCTGCACTGCTTGCCGCCTTCTTTGGAGAATGGCATTGGTTGCAGACGTGCTAATGATACTTCCATGTCTGTCTGTGTCCTTGCTGTACATTTGCTGGTGCGATGCATTCTTGGGACTAGGATCCAGTCCCAGATGACGTTGTGCTATGGCTCCTGATTCTTTTCCTGCAGGGTAGATATCCATAGAAAGGAGAACTCTGGGGCTGCAGAGAAGCCTGTCACCATCCATGCCACCCCAGAGGGGACCTCTGAAGCATGCCGCATGATTCTTGAGATCATGCAGAAAGAGGCTGATGAGACCAAACTGTAAGTTCGCATGCAATGCATGGACCACTCAACAGAGAAAAAGAGTAGGTTCCCATTCATTTAACCCAGGAAAGTTTTAGAAAGCTGTTAATCTGTTCTGTTGCTCAGTAAAGGGAGCAGGGAAGGGATTATTTTTACGAAAGTTGTTCCTAAAGAGAATACACTGGAAATAGATCTTTTATGTTTATAATATGGCTGTTCTTCTACTTGTATGTTTCTCTTGGTGATCCTAATGCTTCCATCACTAATGGTGAAAATCATTGGTAGGAACATTAAGACTGTGCTGTCCACATCCATGCAATGAGGGGATGATATAGCTCAAGTGGTAGAGCGCACGCTTAGCATGCAGAATGTCCTGAGTTCAGTCCCCAGTACCTCCTCTAAAAATAAATAAATCTAATTACCCCCCCACAAGATAAAATAATTAAATAACAATAATAAAAAAATTTTTTTAAATCCATGCAATGGTGAAAATGTTCTATACCTGCACTGTTCAGTATGATAGCCACTAGCCACATGCTGTTACGACATGAGTGCTTGAAATGTATCTAGTGCAGGAGGGGAGCTGAATATTTTATTTTAATCTATTCAGATTTAAATAGTCACATGTATGGCTGATGGCTGTCTTATTGGACAGCGCAGGTATAGAATGTACACTGTTATCAAAACCATTATTTACAATGCTGGAAAAGGATTTTTCCACCATGCTCCTAAGCCACTCGCATGCTTTTAAAGTTGGATTACATTTGCTTAAGTAGTAGAAACTGGTATCTGAATGGCTACTTTCTTCTTTTTTCTTCTATCTCCCCCCACCCCTGTGCCTTTCTTTTATAAAATATTTCTTACCATTCCAGAGTGTTGTACCAATCTGAATGACAAATACAGTTTTTACTAAACCAATTGACTTTGTGTTATAAACAAATTAATGGTAATGAGATAGACAATATAATAATTTTTTAAAAGGCTCTGTATCAGTTTGGCAAAATCTGCTTACAGGCAAGTGTGGCAGTTTTATAAAGAAACAGTGAGGGATGAATCAAAGTGCTGCAGTGGAAATGACTGCAGGTGACTGGAGGCCCTAGTCAAAGGTTTTAGAGGAACAGGAAGAGACTTTGGGGGGTTCAGGGAAGGCCTCTCTGTGTAAGTGACATTTAAGTTGAACTCTGCAGAGGATGAGTGGGAGGTGGAGGATGTAGGAGAAGAGAGATCCTAAACTTTCTTTTTATTCATTTACCAAATATTTATTGAGCATGTACTATATGCCAGGCACAGTTCTGTGTGCCAGTGAACAAAGCTGACAGAATACCCTGCCCTCTGAAAGTTATGTTCTAATGGAGCTTCTTCAAGCATCCATTTATTTGGGGGCAGTAGTAATGGATCTGTTAGATGATTTTGGTCTCAAGTAATAGTAAAACATCACAAGTGGCTCAAGCAGTAAGAAACAATTATGATGTCACATAGTAAGAAGTCCTAAGGTGAAGTAACTGCAAGGTCAGTTAAATCATATACTCAAAGTCTCATGACTTTTTTTTTCCTCTGCTTTACCTTCCTTGGGGTGTATTTATCTTTTTGTGATTGGCTTATTTCACTTAATGTAATGTCCTCAAAATTTATCCATGTTGTTGTAGGATTTCCTTCCTTTTTAAGGCAGAATAATATTCCATTATGTGTATGTACCACATTTTGTTTGTTCATTTGTCCATTGATGGAGACTTGGTGTTGCTTTCACCTCTTAGCTATTGTGAATAGTGCTGTTAGGAATATGGGTGTGCAAATATCTTTTTGAGACCCTGCTTTCAATTCTTTTGTATATATACCCAGAAGTGAGATCGCTGGATCATACATTAGTTTTATTTGCAATTTTTTGAGGAACCTCCATACTGTTTTCTATAGCAGTTGCACCATTTTACAATCCCAGTAACATTTCAAAAGAGTTCCGATTTCTCCATACCTTACCAACACTTGTTATCTTCTGTTATTTTGATAGTAGCCAAACTAACGAGTTTGAGGTAATATTTGTATTCATTTGATATCTCATTGAGGTTTTTATTTGCGTTTCTCCAATGATTAGAGATGTTGAGCATCTTTTCACATGCTTTATGACATTTGTATATCATCTTTGCAGAAATGTCTGCTCAGGTCCTTTGCACATATTTAAACGGGTTATTTGGTTTTTTTAATTGTTGAATTGTAGGAGTTCTTTATATATTCTGGATGTTAAACTCTTATCACAATATATGATCTGCAGATATTTATCTCCATTCCATAGATTGTCTTTTCATTATATTGTGTCCTTTGACACAAAAGTTTTTAGGTTTGATGTAGTCCTATTTGTTTATTTTTGCTTTTGTTGACTGTGCTTTGGTGCCATATCCAAGAAACCATTGCCAAGTCCAATATCATGAAGCTTCTCCCCTTTTTCTTCTTCTAGGAAAATTGTACTTTTGGTTTTACATTTAGATGTTTAATCTATTTTAAGTTAACTTCTGAGTATGAAATAAGGGTCTAGCTGCATTCTTTTGCAAGTGAATATCCAGTTTTCCCAACACCATTTTTGAAGACACTGTCTCTTCCCTGTGGTGTAGCCTTGGCACCTTTGCTAAAGATCATTTGACCATACATGCAAGGGTTTATTTCTGGGATCTCTGTTTTTTTCTGTTGGTTTATTTTTCTTGATGCCAGTACCACATTGTTTTGGTTATGGTAGCTTTGTATTATGTTTTGAAATCAGGAAATGTGAGATCTTTTTCAAAATTGCCTTGACTATTCAGGGTCCCTTGAGATTCCATATGAATTTTAAGATGAATTTTTCTGTTTCTGCAAAAATTGCCATTGGAATTTGATACGGATTACATTAAATTTGTAGATTGCTTTGGATAGTATGGACATCTAAACAATATTATGCCTTCCAGTCCATGAATACAAGATGTCTTTCCATTGATTGCTGTCTTCATTAATTTCTTGCTGCAATGTTTCATAGTTTTCAGTGTAAATGTCTTCTTTGGTTAGGTTTATTCAACACTTTATTCTTTATGATGTTATTATCAATGAAATTATTTTCTTAATTTCCTTTTCATATTGTTCATTGTTAGTGTATAGAAACACAACTAACTGATTTTTGTGTGTTGATTTTATATCCTACAATGGTGCTGAATTACTTTATTAGTCCTAATAATTTTTTTGTGGCATCTTTAAGGTTTTCTACATATGAGATCATGTCCTCTGTAAACAGAGATAATTTTACTTCTTCCTTTCCAATTTAGATGCCTTTTATTTCTTTTCCTTGGCTAATTGCTTTGGATAGGAATTTCAATAGTATGTTGAGGGAGGAGGGTATAGCTCAGTGGTAGAGTATGTACTTAGCATGCACAAGGTCCTCAGTTCAATCCCCAGTACCTCGGTTTAAAAAAATTAAATAAATACGTAAATAAACCTAATTACACCCCCCCCAAAAAAAGATGAAAAAATAGTTGAATAGAAGTGGTGAGGGCATCATTGTCTTGTTCCTGATCTTAAAGAAAAAACTTTCAGTCTTTCACCATTAAATATGATGTTCCTTATGGGGTTTTCATTAATGGCCTTTATTATGCTGAGGTAGTTTTCTTCTATTCCTGAATTGTTAGGTGTTTTTATCATGAAAAATTGTTAAATTTTGTCAAATGCTTTTTCTGTATCGATTGAGATGATAATGTGGGTTTGCCCTTCATTCTGTTAACGTTATATAGTACATTCATTGATTTACATGTGTTGAACCATCCTTTCATTTCAACTTGAAGGACTCCCTTTAGCATTTTTTGTAGAGCAGTTCTAATAGTAATGAATTCCATTAGCTTTTGTTTATCTGGAAGATTCGTAATTTCCCCATCATTTTTGATGATAGTTTTGCTAAATTCAGTATTCTTGGTTGACAGTTTTTTCTTTCAGCACTTTGAATATGTCATCCCATTCCCCTCTGGCCTGCAAAATTTCTACTGAGAAATTCATGTATAATCTTACGGAAACTTCCTTGTGTGTTACTCATCACTTTCCGCTTGCTGCTTTCAAGATTTTCTCTTTGTTTTTGACTTTAGACACTTGGGTTATAATGTATCTCAGTGTGATTGTCTTTGAATTTATCCCAGTTGGATGTTCTTGGAGCTTCTTGAATCTATATGTCCATTTCTTTCCTCAGATCTAGAAAGGTTTTCACCTATTTTCTTCTAATAAACTCTCTGCCCCGTCTCTCTCCCTTCCTTCTGAGATTCTAATGACATGTATGTTGACCCACTTAGCCTCCGTAAGTCCCTTAGCCTCTCTCCACTTTTAAAAATTTTGTTTTTCCTCCCCACTTGATGATTTCAAATGACTAATCTTCAAGTTTGCTGATTCTGTCTTCTGCCTGACCATATCTGCTGTTGCACTCTTTTAATGAATTTTTCAGTTCAGTTATTGTATTTTTCAGCTCTGTTATTTCTGTTAGGTTGTTTTTTATAGTTTCTGTTTCTCTGTTGACATTCTCACTTTTTTCATGCATCATCTTCCTGATTTCATTTAGTTGTCTGTATTCTCTTTCAGGTCATTGAGTATTTTTATGATAGTTATTTTTAAGTCTTTGTCAGGTAGCTCATAGATCTGCATTTCTTTAGGGTCAGTTTCTGGAGTTTTATTTTGATTCTTTGATTAGGCCATGTTTCCATTTCTTTGTATGCCTTGTAACTTTTTGCTGGGGTTTGGGCATTTGAAAAAGCAACTCCCTCTCAGTCTTTGCATTACTGGCTTTGTTCAGGGGAAGACCTTTGCTAATCAGCCTGGCTGGAGTTTCTAGGACCTCTCAAACCATTTCTAATCTTTTTTTCCCCCTGGCTTCTATGGGACTGCAGCTCTAACATACCATTCACCTGTGTTTTCAGCAGCTTCCAGGCTCTGGCACCAGTCTTGTCAGCTCTCCAAGTCAGGCGAGATGAAAACCAATCCCTCAGGCAGCCCTGAGACAAGCCAGAATGTTGGACTCATGATCCAGTCTTTTGTTTCTATCCCGAGAGAGTAGCCCTGGTATAGGAGATTTCCTCCCAGTTGCCCCTTGCTGTACTGTGTGGGGGAAGGAGCATCAAAGGCATGCCAAATGCCACAAAATTTCCTACCCCTTTTGCTAGAATCCCTTTTTGGTTTTATAAAAGCCTGGATGCTATAGCTTCTCACTTGATCTCTAGAGTTCTAGCCTATCTTTTGTTGTCAGCTTGGTATCTCTGTGGGGGTAAGAGAGTCTATTGGTTCCTAGTCTGCCATCTTACTGATATCATTACCCCTTGTGCCCTTTTTGAGAGCAAGGAAAACCTTCCTAAAGTCACCCAACAGGGTGCTTCTCCTACCTCATTGGCCAGACCTCTCTCATGGACCTATTTCCAACCAGTCACAACAAGGGAGTATAATTACCATAATTTGATTTGTGTTAATCAAAATTCATGCACTGGGGTTAGTGGGGGACTCAAAGCCTTTCCTGAAGCCCATGTCTACTTGTTACCTGAACAAAGATGGCTTCTATTTGCAAGGAAAAAGCTGGGTAATAGCTCTTGGGAGGCAACCATTGTGTTCACCCTAAATGTTAAATTGTTGCTTGTCTCTTTTAGAGCTGAAGAGATTCCTCTAAAGATCTTGGCCCACAATGGCTTGGTTGGAAGGCTGATTGGAAAAGAAGGCAGAAATTTGAAGAAAATTGAACATGAGACAGGGACCAAGATAACGATCTCATCGTAAGCCACTTGTTTAGATTAATTGTGCCCAGTAATGGAGAATTTGAGAATTTTGATATGTCCATCTCATTCATCTGCTTTCCCTTAAAATGAAAATGTAATTGTGAGTGATATAATTATCTTCAGCACCATCAAACAAATACATAATAATTACCAGTCAAACATTTTCTTCTACGGATATGATCTAAGTCACTGCAAAGATCTGAGATAAGATGGCAGATATTCTATGCTACAGTGTGTGGTGAGGGAATCCAGTCTTCTCTCCACCTCTTCCGCCAAGACTTGTTTGTGATCCTTCTGGAATTTTATTTTTCCTTTTGAAAAAAGGAAATTTCTCTCTTTTTCCTGGTGGCCAGCTTGCAGGATTTGAGCATATACAACCCTGAAAGAACCATCACTGTGAAGGGCACAGTTGAGGCCTGTGCCAATGCTGAAACAGAGATCATGAAGAAGCTACGTGAGGCCTTTGAAAATGATATGCTGGCTGTTAATGTAAGTGCCTACTGCTTTCTTCTCCACTGTTTTTCACATGTGTTTTCAAGCAGGACCCAAGACTCTCTAATAATAATAATTGTCATTCAGATAGTGACGAAGCACCTTAAAATAGCTATGCAGAGTTATTCTTGTCTTCTTAGGTCAGAAGCATTAGAATAATCAGGAAACCAACTAGAAAAATATGATAAATACACTGGACAAAATAGTGTGAAGCCATTCAAATGGTGACTTTGAAGATTTTTAAATAAGGAATTGCTTATGATATATTGTTAATTAAGAGTATATGTAAGTATATATATAGCTAGGGTTATAATTATGCAAAGTAATATGGATCAAAATGACTAGAAGGCTACATATAAAAATCAGAATGGCTGATACGTTAGAAAAGTGGGATTATTTTCCCCCTACTTTCCAATTTAAAAAATACATACTTACTTTAAAATTAACTTCTGATCTTCATCTCTTGCTTACTGATCTGTTCTTGTAGATTGCCCAGTAGATGTTGTCATCCTCCTCAGCTCTGAAACTTCTAGCAGACTGATTTGGGTTTGTCTTTCCTGTTATTACTACCTAGTTCCAACTTCATAATGGGAGGACACCATTCTGGCATTCAGAAATCTTAAAAATATTTGTCCATCAATCAAAGCCCAAACTCAGCTCAGAGGAGTAAATTTTTATTTTTTTATGAGAATGATTTTTTAACATACACAAAACAGGAAAGAATACTATGATAAGCTCTCGTATGTCCATAATCCAGCTTCAGCAGTTAACAGCTCGTGACCTGTTTTGTTTCATCTGAACCTTCATCCGCATCCCCACACCCCTAGGATGACTTTGAAGCAAATCCCAAATTTCGTAACATTTCACAGAGGAGTAAACGTTGACAAAGGACTAGGTAGGTTAAACACAGCCCCAGTTCCCTCAACTGCAGCACTTTGCACAGGGCCTCCTTACTCGGGTCGGCACTCTATCTCCCATCTCACCCTAAATACCACCTCAGCAGCCCATGTCACGTGGCAGTTGAGGGACACAATGAGAAGACTGTGGTGTGACCTTCTCCCCTATTTGTGTATATTTGTCTGTCGAAGTATCATCCACTGATCTCATTTTCTTCTTTTAGGCTCTTGATATCTTATGATAAACAGCTCTTTCTGTGAACACCCAGAAATGCTACAAAGGTTCTGGGTGTCCCCAGAATCTTCACCTGAGCATATACATCACTTAGATTCATTCATGTCTGTACTAAAGTCATGCATTGTTAGAGGAGTAACAAGACTATTAGATCTTACACATCAATGGAATAAAGGTTAAGGATCCTAGCTTTCCTATTCCAGAGATTCTAAAAGAAAGCAAGTTACCGGGTGACCCTAGAGCCACAGATAAGAAAAGTGAAAATGTTAGAGAATTGCTTAGTGTTTGGGGAGGCAGTGAAGGCAATATAGGCCAGGGTGGGGGCTGCATCCCTCTGCCTCTGAAAGGATGGTGTAGTTCAAAGTCACCCCCAGCCTCTGTGAGCATCCTCATGTTTAAGTGAGAAATAAGCAAGTGAGATGATCACAGAGCTGCAACTAAATGGTAAAAAAGCCAAAGTTGTGAACCATTCCAAATCTGGATAATAGAGTTTACATATATGGTATCTTACTGAAGGGTCTGATCTTTCCCTGAATAGAGTTAGAAAAAACTATTAATCCAACATATTCATTCAGCAAATATTTACTGAGTACTTACTAAGTACCAGGCACTGAGCTCGCGACGCTAAGCAAGACAGTCTGTCCATAAGAACTTTGTGGCCTAATTAGGGGGAAAGGCTGCTCCACAGGCAGTTCAAATACCATGTGACAAGTGCTGTTTTAGGGAAGCACAGGCACGTCAGGAGAGCACAGACAGGGCACTTGCGCTGAGACCTTTAGGGTGAGAGCAGGCTTCCCGGATGAGGGGACACCCATGCTCAGGTGAAACCACATGACAAGTAGGATGTAGCCAGGTGAGGGGGGGAGAGAAGCACATTTTTTTGCAAGGTGGACAGTGTGTGCAGGGGTCCAGAGGCGAGAGGAGTAGGACAGGGCAGGATTGGGATAAGGTGGGACTAGCAGGAGAGAGCCTGGTGAGCTGGCCTAGGGCCCCAGGAAGAGCCTTGTTTGCTGTGTTAAGATGTGCAGACTCTCAAGGCTGCAGAGAAGCTTTGAAGGACCATCATGATCAGGTTGAATTTTGGAGAGCCCACCCTGGCAGCAAGGTGGGAAAGAGGTCCACGGGGCCAGGGCAGAGCCAATGAGGAGACACTGGTGCCAACCAGACAAGAGATGGAGGCTGTCCAGGCAAGCTGGGCCTCTCTGGTCTCCTCCCCTCAACTTTTTCTCCATTTTTATTCCTAGCAACAAGCCAATCTGATCCCGGGGTTGAACCTCAGCGCACTTGGCATCTTTTCAACAGGACTGTCCGTGCTGCCTCCACCAGCAGGGCCCCGAGGAGCCCCCCCCGCTCCCCCCTACCACCCTTTCGCTGTAAGTAGCTCAGCTTTCAGGGGTTTGCTAATGCTCCTTCAGGCAGCAGCATTTCTCTGCTGTGTCGAATCAGAGCTAAGGCTTTCATTTGGAGGTTGTGCTCATAAGTGATTGTAGGATGAATCCAGCAGTTCTTAGGACTTCTTCCTAATGGAGAAATTAATATTACTAAACCATCCTCTAAGTATGTGCTCTTAACATAGTGTCTATCATATCTCGGACAGGGACTACTAGCAGATTCATTAACTAGAAGCCTGTTTATTCAGAGAGAGGATGTATTAGCCCAAAGAAGAACCTTTATGAGTGTTCATTTACTAAAATACTAGGGTTCCTAGATGACTCATGCATATATATATATATATAAAATTCCCAGCTATATCTACAATTCAAATGCATTGCATTTTATTAATAGGCAGTTTTTAAAAGAAAATAACACACAGTGTTTGTTTCTAAACACTTAGCACAATGCCTGGCATTTAGTAGATTCTCAGTAAGTATTTACTGTTCGAATCATAACTGATAGCAAAAGAAGGAATGTGAACTTTGTGAGTTTTCTTCATGGGGGTTTCTTCTTGTTCCCATTCACAAGCATTGTTCAGGATCATCACATCACCCAGCTGGGGTTCTGGATACTTGACAGATTTTTTTCCCCATTCCTAATTCTTCTCCACACACATTCTACTTATTTTGTAAGCAAACTAAGTTTCTTTAAACATGTTTATACTGTTTAAACGGGAAGAATCAGGTTGGAGGACATTACCATAAGCACTTCTTTCTTTTGAGAGGTGGTCTCTGGTGTAGACACTGCAGTGTCAGAATTCCTAGAAGCTCTTTAGGTTATCTGTAGAGAGACAGGATGAGCTCGCTGTGCTGTTTTGCCAACAAAATACAGACATGAACTGGCACCCACATCCTTAGTCACAAAAACATACACATTCTGTCATCTTGTTTATGTACAACTCTTCTGAGTCATTTTTAAACCTCTCCATACCATTTCTTTAGTTATATTCATTTTCCCTTAAACAAGAGCATAGGGCCCAAAATTGAGCTGTGTGTGTGTTTGTGTGTGTGTGACAGGGTGAGGGAGCTGGAATAAGGCAGGAGGGAAGTGGCCACAAGTTAGTCACGCAGCTGCTCTTAGGAGGGAGAGCAGCTCTGAGAGGTGCCTGTCCGCATACCTTTGCTGTGAGATTTGAGAATGACTGAGCCCAGTACAATGAACTGGCATTTAGACACATCTCATTTCTTGGGAGAAAGATGGTATACACTGCTCCACAGAAGGTAACTTCAAAAGCCAGGGCACCCTCCCAACCTAACTAACCTCAACAGTGGGAGAAAAAAGGTATAATATAATAGACCACACTTCTTTCTTTTTTTCCAAGACTACAATTTTTAATGTATAGTAATGAAGACTGTGTGGTATTGGCATAAGAATATACAATATAGATTGGTGTAACAGAATACAGAACTCAGACAGACCCTCAAATACATGGTGAAGGTATTTCAATGGGAAAGGATAGTTTTTTTTAAATGAATAGTACTTGAATAACCAAAAATCAAAAAATGAACTAGTCCTTTACCTCATACATTTCATAAAAATTAATTTGAATCACAGAGCTAGTTATAAAAGCTAAAACTGTAAAATTTCTAGCATAAAACATAGAAATTCTTTCTGATCTTGGAGTAAGCATAGATTTCTTAGCACACAAAAAAATACAACCATAAAAGAAATATATATATATATAAAGTGGACTTCATCAAAATTAAAAATTTCTGCTCTTCAAGATCTATCATTAAGAAAACAAAAAAAGCAAGCCACAGATGGAAACAAAATGTTCACAAACATATCTTATGAAGGACTTTTATCTAGAATGTAGACAAAAATTCTTACAACTCAATAAGTTAACCCAAATCTAAAATGGGCAAAATATTTGAAAAAGCACTTCCCAAAAAGAAGATACAAATGTCAAATAAACATGAAACGTTGCTCCACATCATCAAGGAAATGCGTATTAAAACCACAGTGAGACACCACTGCACATCCACTAAAGGTGCTAAAATGAAAACCAACGGCAGCGCCAAGCATCGACAAGGACATGGCGCAACTAAAACTTGAACACGTTGCTGGCTGGAGTGCAAAATGGTATAAACACTTCGGAAGATTCAGTGTCCTCTAGAACTCATAAATTCCACTCCCAAGTATTTAAACATATATCCACACACAGACTTATAACATATGTATTTAGCAGCTTTATTCATAATAGTTCAAAACTTAGACGTTCATCAACCTTAGATGTCCATCAACAGATATGAATAGTTACAAATGGTGGTATATCCAAACAACAATAATACTCAGCAATAAGAAGGAACATATCACTGATACACACAAAACCAGAGGTGAATCTCAACATGGATTTCAAAAGAATTATGCTGAGTGAAAAAGGTCAGACAGAAAGAGTATATATTCTATGGGCTATTTATTAGAAATTCTAGAAAAGTCAAATCTAATTTATAGTCACAGAATGCAAATTAGTAGTTGAATAGTTATTGGGGTGGAGTATAAGAGAGCACTTCTGAAACAGGTCAGCAAACTACAGTCCGAGGGCCAAATCCCACTCACCAATTATTTTTGTAAATAAATATGTTTATGGATGTTTATTTACATACTGTTTGCTTTCCTGCTATGATGGCAGCATTGAGTAGATGCAGTAGAGACCTGAGATGTGCAAAGCCTGAAATATTTATTTGGCTCTTTACAGAAGAATTTGTAGATCCCTGAACTAGAACAATAAGAGAAATTTTCATGATAGCAGAATATTTTCTAAACTTTCTAAAGAATAGATTTTGCCAATTGGAAAGCTTCTAAGTTTTTTTTTTTAACTAAAACAGTAGCATAATGATTTTACTAATATACATAATTTTCATTCTTTATAAAATAGATTTTAAGTAAAATTTCTTCTTTAGGTTAAAAGCCAGGTAGTTCTGATTTGAGCTCATAGATCAAGATTAGATTGTAATCCAGAGCACACAGTTGCCCCAACTCTGCAACACAGCTGCTACAAGCCTCTCTCAGAGAGCTGAGAAGCCTGGGGCCAGGGGAGGAGGCCGCCAGTGCTACCCACCTGTGCAGGGTCTGGAACCTGCACTGCAGGCTCGTGGGCTTCCCTGCTGGGCCCATGCCTCCTGAGGAGGACAGGGTAGGATGGAGTGGTGGGGATACTTTAAATACTTGTAAGATATTATTGCTTTTCAGTCACACAGGCATTCAGATCTCAAGGAACTAGGGTATTTCTTGGTTGCTTTTATACATCACAAAACTCTAGTCCTTTTGCTGTTAGCATCCAAAGGTCAGGAAGTCTGTGCACCTCCTTAGAGCTGGCTCGCACGTGTGTGAGTTGGTCTCTCAGCTCTAGCAGCTTTGAATGCATATGTGTATGTAGGAAAATTATTATTTTTTGTTATTTTCTGGTTATAAAATTAGTACATGCATAATATTTAAGAAGCAAATAGTAAAAGTGCAAGATTTTTCTTGCTCTAGAAATAGCCAGTGTTTCTATGTATATGTGTGGTATATATACAGTTTATATGTATGTATAATAAATATATAGGTGATATATATATATTTTTAATTGTCACTCTACAGTGGAAATCTTTGTGTGTGTGTGTGTGTATATATGTATATATATATATATATATCTTGGTTCTTTTATTCAGTTGTTTCTTCAGAATAAATTCCTGGAAATAGAATTGCTGAGCCAAAGAATATATGAATTTTATATATTATATGTAACTATAAAATATGAATGTTGAGATATAATATGTAAGTTTTGATACAGAAACAATGTAGTACTTTTCTTTCCCATCAAGTGTGTGACAGAGAAGTTTTTTTGTTTGTTTTTTTAAGTATAGTTGATTCAGAATGTTGTGTTTCTAGTGTACAGCACAGCGACTCAGTTATACATATACATATATATATATTCTTTTTTCTTAGAAAAGTATTTTCTTCTCCTATACTCTCACTACCAATGTAATTGTTCCTTGCAGTCTGATACTTTAAAAGATGCTATTATGAGATTTAACACTCTGGAGCTTATTGGCCATTTATCTGTAAGATGGGGTAACAATAGTACATATATCATGGGCTGTTGTGAGGGTTATTAAATAAGTTAAAATCTGCACACAGTGACTGCTGTGTGAACCTTAGCTGTTAATGTCATTTCCCTTCATCTTTTTCTTAGTGATCTGTAACAGCTCATTTCATATTAAGGATGTTAACCATTTGTCATGTTGTATTTTCCACCAGCTTGTCATTTCTCTTTGTTTTATGTGTGGTGTCTTGTGCTATAGTAATTTAAAATAGATATATTTTGAACAAATGAAGTATTGTATGAAGGAAATATTCCTTCAGTCTTCTTTCTCTTACCCACGTTTCACCCAACAACCACTCCCCAGAAGAATAGCACTGTTACGTTTACACATTAAAAAATATGTTTTCTGAGCACATAATCATATAATCAATTATTCAAAAACATAAATGGAATCATGCCATACACAGTGAATTACAGGGTTTTTGGTTTGTTTTTGTTTTTTACTTATTATGGACATCCTTCCATAGCTAGACAAAGTTCTCGTTAATGGCTACTTAGTATTCCATTGTATGAATTTACTACAATTTTTCAACTGAGCACACTGTTGGACACTTGGGTTATTTCTAGCCTTCCTCCACTCCAAATAGTGTGAAAATAAATATCCTTATACGTAAGTGTGTAACTATACCTGGAAGTAAGTTCTAAGATGGCATTTGTTGCATCAAAGGGTATTGCATTTAAAATTTTCACAGATTTCTTTTCAATAGAATTTATGCAGAAATTTTAAGAATTTAGTTAAATCACAGATGTTTTCCTTTATGGATTTCTGGCTTTTGACGTCATGCTAAGGAAAAGCCTTCTCCCGTGTGTAAGGCAGTTGAACAGTCTCCCAAGTTTTCTTATTTTTAGTAG